TATGTATATATATGTATATATATTATGTATATAATGTATATATATATGTATAATATATGTATATATATGTATATATATGTATATATATGTATAATGTAATATATGTATATATATATGTATATATATATATGATATATATATATGTATATATATGTATATATATATGTTATATGTATATTATATTATATGTATAATATATATATGTATATATATATAGTATCATATAATGTATATATGTATATATATGTAATAATACGTATATGTATATATAGTATATGTATATACGTATATGTATATACGTATATATGTATATATATATGTATATATATGTGTATATATGATATATATGTATATATATAAGTATATATATGTATGTGTATTATGTATGTTGTATGTATATGTGTATGTATATGTAATTGTATATGTATAGTAATGTATGTATATTATATGTATATGTATGTATATGCATATGTATATGTATGTATACTGTATATGTATGTATATGTTATATGTATGTATATGATATATATATGTAATGTTTATATATGTATATGTATATATGTATATATAATGTATATGTATATATGCATATGTATATGTATATATATGTATCTGTATATATATATATGTATATGTATATATATGTATCTATAAATATATGTATATGTAATAATAAATATATGTATAGTAATATATATGTATATATATATATGTATATATATAATGAATATGTATATATATGTATATTGTATATATATGTATATGTAATATATGTATAGTATATGAATGTATATATGTAATATATGTTATATGTATATATATGTATATCTATTATATGATATATAGTATTATGTATAATATATATGTATATGTATATATATGTATATTATATGTTAATATATAGTATATGTATATATATGTATATGTATACATTGTATATGTATATATATGTATAGTATATATATGTATATGTATATATACGTATATGTATATATATGTATTATTATGTATATAATGTATATGTATATACATGTATATATATAAATACTTATACATATATAATGTATATGTTATATACACATGTGTATATACATTATGTGCATATGTAAATGCAATATATAATATATATATATATAATCATATGTATATATTTATATTAATATTCACACACCCACACCCACACATGTGTGTTTGAGGGAATTGCTTCTTCAAAAGAAAACTGAATAAACGCATTGGGCACAATGCCAAAACGAACCGAACACGCACGCTGTGCATTATTCATGAATAAAAATAATAAATCATTAAATGTTTAATTTCAGTTTTAACTATCCTATGCATCTTGTTTACTGTCTGTTACTAATTTCATCCTTTTCCTGTCGCCCAGAGCCATCATCTCGTTCTGGAGCTGGACGCAGCTAAGCCGGAGTCCTGACCAGTATAACGCCTCCATTTCGGCAGATAGATACAAAACACCTGGTAAAAATTATGATTAAATGGATGCATGTATATGTGTGTGTATGTGCATAGGTGTTTGTGCGTATTAGTACGTTTTAATGCGTGTATGAGCATGTAGACATATGTACACACACATCCCAACTATGTAAATCCTCCTTTCCCGCAGGCTTTCACTTGTTCGTCTGGGCCAGGACGCTGGAGTGGAGCCGCATGATCACCAAAGCCGCAGAGAAATACGAAAATTTAACGACTCTGTTTTACGAGGATCTTCTGAAGGACCCACTGAAGGAACTCCGAAGGATTCTTCGCTTCCTGAGGGTCGAGCCGGACGAAGAGCGACTCGCGTGCTTGGCCAGGCATCTCGAAGGACCGTTTAAGGGCGCAAAGAAGGTCCATGACCCGTACAGCGTTTTCGAAAAGAAAGTTCTCAAGTCGGCCATTGTGTCCGCGTCTCGAGCCCTAGAGGAGAGAGGCTACGCTCCTTTACCTGATTATAAACTGTGATTATTTATAGCGTTGTAAGGAATTATATTATTTAAATTTGAAGGATATATACCTTCAAAGAATTAAAATAAATTATTAAAATAAATATATTTATTTTTATGTTTATATATCATTTCGTTAATACTTCCCCACATGAATACCGGACTACACACACACACACACACATAATTCATACACAAACCCACAATATCTACTTTTATATACATATACACATAGACCTACAAATTTATATACATGAGGTCTTTTTGTACCATCCGAAACTCTTAACACTTTGACACATCTTTGATGCTGTATCATGGTCGCTGCAAAATATGATTATCATACCAAGTTTTGAAAAAAAAAAAAGAAAAAAAAATCTAAATTTCACAAAAAGAAAAGTCGATAGAAAACATTAAAGTACTTAATAGCAGGTATGATTTTAACTACAAGCAAATATTACAGAAATATTAAGTAAAATGGAAAATGTACTTGATTCCTCTGCAAATATAATGGTTTACACACCCTCCCGTTTCGCATGGCTGCGGAAACGCATTTCTCAGATTCAGTCAAACCTTTTTTTTCTGAGGTCGCATGAGGTTTTGCATCTTATCGTATCCACCGTGAGCTCTATGTCCGATAATTAGATAATGCCAATGATTCGAGGTATTTACTTTTCCCATTGATAAAATTATATCAGCAAATCAAAATATACAATCTATTCTGTGAAATTCTTGAGCCTGTAAAGGTTGTATCTTAGAGGTACAGAAAGACTCTGAAGACACTGATCCCACAGAAGACAATTTCACGTCATACGATGCCGACTCATCAAAAATGTCTTTCCGGCGACCGCCATGTCTGACTTCAAATTTTACCTATATCGAGAGACATGTATTTGATATACTGCTAAAAAGACACAAACATTTTATGCACCTTTGAAAATAAATTAGTATCAAGAAACACGATGCGATTCGTATTTAATGAAAATATAAATTCCCATCTGAGCCTGCGTGGAATATATATGGAAAATATCGCGCTCTGACTGGTTGGCAGGAGTGTATCAAACTGTTTGAAGGAAGAGGCAAAGATACATACAAAATGAAAAGAGGTGTCAACAGGTTTCAATAATGTGGGCTTAAAAGGCAAACATCAAAATGTATAATATCTGGGTTTCGGGGAAGCTACAAAAGGCCTATATACTACTATCGGGACTATATATTATCGGCATCGCACTTATCAGAATTGCTATATAGATACAACACATAATTCGCATTGAATGTTGCATTTTATCCCCCACACCTTAAAATATGGGCATTAATCTTAGGAAGAACTACGAAGCAATGATATAATGCACCTCAGCTTAATCTTAAAGAAATGAACCCAAGAAAATTTGGCAACAACTGCCCCTTAGTTACCTCATGTAATGTATCTGCTACTATTAGACTTTCTAGGATATATGAGAACATAATGCTCCTAACCAAACCAACTTGCCTGAAAACAACAACAAAAAGAACAAACCACTGTACCTAAAATTCCAATATTTCGCAAAGCCTTTATAATCGGCAGAAACAAGAAATAGACATATACTGTGCACTGTATTGGTCTGCATTGCCATAATGATAAAAGCAGAGGGATACAACAGCGGGTGGCCATCTCATTCAAACGTGTTATTGCTTCTATTTTTTTCTGAAATGCTATGAACAGAGAATGCAATCACTGGTGGGGGGTAAGCAATTTATGGTTCACCAATGATATCAAAATCCAAAAAATGCCTGTGACCGATTTTGGAAAATAAAGTCAAAATAAATAAGCGCAGGTGTGATGCTGTAAAAAAAAGTATACCGTCGTGTCCTAAATTTGACCAATTAAGACATCCAAACACAAACATATCCCTCCCGAAACTCATATGAAAATTGATGCATGAATAAAATTAATCTCTAATACAAGACCATACATTTCGTTTCTATTAACAATTCTCTGGTAATTGTTGAAAGACCGCGACGCACCCTCGCAGAGACTAAGTTCCAAATGGGGGGGGGTACCCCCCCTCTCCAAAGGGGAAGTTGTCCTCAGCAGAGCCTAATTCCCTAGGGGAGGGGAGGGGGAGGGATGAGGGATAAATCGACCTCACAAAGCTCCGTGGGGGGGGGGGGAATGCACGATGTCAATAGCAACCTGTAAATGTCTAAATAAAATAAATACACTTTAACATCTATACAATTTGTAATTATATGAAAGACGAGCCTAAATTTATATTACGGCAACAATAGAAAGGCCGTATAATAAAAAAATAAGAGCCAAACTTTGTCAGAACGGACGCCGAATGAAACACGCTAAATTAAAACAAGCGCAAAACGTTATGCGGACTAAATCGATATATGATACACAATATTTTTTTTATTATAACACATTCGTAATCATACAAACCTGAATACCGAAACATAACAATAACCAACGAACTTGTGTCAAACCGTTTATAATTTTAAATAATGCGGATATTGTAAAATTCTAATTAAACAACTTATTGTAAAAACGCATTTTATTAATATTTATGATATATTCCGTGCAATATACATGTGCAATTTGCCGGTTATCGTTTAAAACAAATTAAAACGTACTAACCTCCTGTTGTCGCGCCTCAGTTATGAGACTTCCCCGCCGGGTAAATTATAAGTAAGACACCCGCCCCAATTTCGTTTTTGTCGCCTACACATTTCAATCTTCAGGGCACGTAGGGGACACCCACGGGAGAAATAGTTTAATAGAAATTTAAAATTTAGGAATAAAATCGAAAGACGAACGAAAATTCGTCGCCGCTGCAACATGCGCCGCGCCGGTGTCCGTGTTGCCGATATCTCCCTGGGGGTATTTCGCCGTAGTTTTCAGAAATCTCGCAGACATCGAGATTTGTAGAAAGGCAACCTTTGATTTTGAATTAAAGCACGGCCAGTGAGGTCCCCACAAAATATTAAATTCCCCGGCATGTACGAACATTATTAAATAATTCAAATACACTTTCCGCGGCTGCCTTAATTAGGATTGCCCAAAATAATTTAACACACCCCTTATTAGCACGATGTCTAATAATAACCAAATCACATTATCAATACATTTAACACATACCGTCAGTGCGGAGGGTACAGGCGAGCTGCGGCAAGGAGGAACTGATGGAATCTTTTGTTCTCCGCCGGGTACTTCATTTGAAATATGGCCTTAGCCAAGTACCCGGCGAAGTGGTATGTCCTCCTGCCGAAGCGGGGCACTTTGATCTTCGCTTCCCTCCATTTCCGCTCGATCGTGTTTGTGTGCGCTTTACTTTTGGGGTCAACAAAATTATATGAATGATTCACAGTTAAATGTTGATAGCCCTCTTTCTCCAAGTTGTATGCCTTCCAACAATCACTAATGACCGTTGTCCCTGGGTGGATACGCTCCTTAATGACGTTAAGCAAAGTGAGAGAGTCACGCGTCTCCACGGCAACGAGGAAAAAATCCCTACTCTTGCGGCATACTCCTCCAAAAACCCACTGACCTTCTATGACACGACCTACGTTATACTTTCGTTTACCAAATTTAGATTCATCAATCTCGACAATTTCCCCTGACCCACCAATTTTGTCGGATTGATTTTCAAAACACCAGAAAATTAAAACCTCCCGGCAGAAGCTCGCCCAATCGCAAATAGTCCGGTTTGGGAAATTAAACTCGCTCCGTGCAGATGCGTAAGAAAACCTCTCTCGCAGATACAAATTTACAAATTTTAAATTAGTTTCAAAATCGAGCTTACTATTATCAAACCAGGTGTTCTTAAAAAGTGATTTTTTGAAATTGCATCTAACTTTTCGATTATTTTTTTTTGGGTCTTGTCGCACCTAAATGAATTTAAATTATCATCGCGACGGCATTCGCCGTCGCATTTTGGACATTTCATGGCCTCCAAAATGAGGCCATGTGTACGGCAAAGATCGAGCAAGAGGGAAGGCTGGGTGCCGTACTTTTCCCAGAAGTGCCCATACCTATCATGATATAATAAATTAAAAAAATGATCCATTATGATATAAGCCAAAAATATTTTATATTTTAAAATACATAAACATTTAATAATATAAATAATAAACATTTAAACTTACCCCATGTCACACTCCGCACAAAAATCACTAGTTGCCATGACGGTGGCTTACAGGCAAGTGACTACGTAATAAGATTGGGTATTGTTCCGATTGGAAGGCAATTGATGTAACAAGGCAGTAGCATTGTTAGATTGTTAACAATCAATCAAGGTTATGATAAAGATTATAGTAATGGTAAATTAACCACATTACACAGAATACAACATATAATCTATAAGCATAAATATAATTGAGGAAATTTCATTATAAATAACATAAAATAATGTATAAAAATAATTCGTAATCGGCAATGATTCCAGGTTGGTTGAAAGTGGTGCACCGAAAACGTGACCTTCATAGAAAACGCAATTATAGAAAATGGAATAACAGAAAATGAGACATATAGAAAACGAGCTTATAGAAAATGTAAACATAAACAAAGAACTCTGCCTGTGGAAGGATGTTTTGGACTTAGGCTCTGCGCGGCGCGCAGCGCCGCGGTTTTTTTTCCGTTTAACGGTAAATATAATGCCTGTGCATCTTAAAATTACCACTATCCTACTCTATTTCTTCCGCTCTATAAGATGGCGGTGTCCATTTTCCTCTATCTACGCGCGTCGCGGTCTTCAACCTCTACCATTCTCTGCAATAGGAAATGTGTTTCAACTGATCAGATTACTGAAAGCTTACCATCGTTAAATTTCAAGTTTCAACCAGCCTCGGACTTCCGAAACTCTTTAGTGGATATTCCATAGCTGGTTATTATATCGAATTTAACTCGTTGACGAGTGATGAAACATGAATTCCCCGAAGCCAATGATGATAAAATGTGGTTGTCATACTTCGTACTGTACTTTTTGGAAAGAATCGGAATAAAGTACACACATCAAAACGAAACAAAACAATAAAATAGCTTCAGAACGTCCTC